CACCAGCTGATATGAGTGGTGTGTGCAATCGGGATTGTAGGCAAACGGGATCCTCCCAGAATATTTCAAATAGTTCATAAGAAATTAGTCATAGATTTAGCATCAATATATCTTTGTTTAGCACTTGTAATTAGAGACACGTGACATAAATTTTTAACAGTAGTGTTATTTATATGTCAACTAAATTATAATATTAATCTATCTCTGTTAAATATTTGTTACTCCTTATATTAGCACGATTGTATCTTGAAAAAGTATACACAATGAGTTTAGTTGTCTTTCATAGTTTCAGCAATTAAATGTAAATCGTCGAGGAAGAATAAAAATAAGGTCTAACGGCGTCGGACATCGTGTCAATGTTGCAGGTATGGTTCCAGAATCGGCGAGCGAAGTTTCGTAAGCAGGAGAGGTTGGCCCAGCAGAAGTCTACGTCGCAAAGTGGCATCGGGGCCGACAGCGGCGCGTCCAGCCCCGTGGCCGGTACCGTGAAGGCGGAGGGACGCTCGCCGAGGAGTCCGGCGACGCCACCCGGTGGCTCGAACAGCGTGCTTTCGTCGAATGAGATCAAGCCGATCACTAATCAGAACCTGGTGAACGTGAAGCACACGGATGGCACAAGCGACGGCTCGCCCAATGCCCGGGGAAGCAGCGGCGGTGGTACCTGGGGTTCCTGCAGTCCCAGGCCCTTCTCGGCGGCCCTGCCGCCCTATCTGTTAGACCCGCTACCGCTGAAAACCGCGAATCTCTACTAAACTTTCTACCCCGTCACCGGCCTGGTGGAGAATGTAAATACAGAGAGCCGCCCGCTCGTCAACACGGAGACGACACGCCGTTCAGGTTCAGGGAGCGTCCAGGTTCCTTCCTGAGCCCCGGTTTCCCGCGACTTCGTCGGTGTCCATCCGCACGTGCGGTATCTTTAAGAACTCCGGTAAGACGCGCCGCTCATATTTTTGACAAAGATACATTTAGGCAGTCGGGAGAAGGTGTGTCAGCTTGCTTTGACGTAGCTGAGATACATTCCGAAATTTGTGCGCACACAAGACAGAGCGTTAAATGCCAATCATTGAAAAATCAGGAGTCGAGGTGAATATAACTTACTGTTAGTGAATTTCGATTGTGGTATTATCGTGCAGAGATTCAGAAGCCAATCAGATGTGTCTGTTTCTTAAGTTTGCCGGAGAAATAATTTGTAACATCAAATATTTCGAGCAGTTTTATGGCATATGCTATGTTTATTCTGCATTCCTGTGATAAGTGTAGTAACATTTGAGAGATTAATATATGTTTCCTTGATTTCTTCCCGGTTGCTTTAATCTACACGTTGTCGTATTTGTAGATAGAGAAGAGAGAAAGAGAATAGCGTACAATTGTATGACGTAAAATATTGTTTTTGTTGATACGAAAATATGCTGTACCTCTATCTATTATTTAACAAAATTTTAAAGAAGACATAACTTGAAACGCTGTTTTCAGGCATCTATTGAAATCGAGACTAAATAATTGAAAAGTAATATAAATGTGGATTTAATCAGGATTCCAGTTGATATCGAGAATAATAGAGTTTATGCGAGTGTTTACTCTAAACGACAATTTTAATGTTCCCGAGGAATGAGACACTTATACTTATTAACTTAATAACGTTGACTCACTAAATTATGTAAATATAAATAATATCTATATTTTTTAAGACAACTTGATAAAAAAAAAATAATGAAATTAATCTAAATATAATATATGTGACAATAGAGTTAGATATAAAATCTCTTTTTTTAAATTAAAAATTTATTCTATTTTTAATTGAATAAATGGTTTTCTTGAAAATTTGTTAAACCGCGATAATTTTCAATAAAATTAACTTATTCAGGGTATTACATAAGGATTATTATGATTTTATTCAATGTAAAATAACTAACCTTAAAATATCTTAAATATATTACGTCGTTTTCAATTATTTATTCGTTTTATTATAATCATCATAAGACAGAAAGATAAGGATTTCATCCGAACCAATGAAAATGCTATTAAAATATTGCTTCAATCCTCGTGGGACATTAAATTTTCGTTTTCAGTATATGCTTCCTATCCGTATTATTTTCTATTAACAATACAAAGCTAGGATTAACACAAAAAAACAGCGTAGAATAGTATCCATAAAAGTACTATTAATCACGCGATTATCACTGGATTTAACAGACTTAGTTTATTGGGGTTAATTTAAGTACTGAAAATTATGGCTATACATTGCGAAAATCTCTTACGATATTTATTATGTGTATCAAGTAGCAAAAAACGTATACTTCCACAGTAAAATCCTTGACGCAATTATCGAACGTACTTCGCACTGATTTAATGCGCGATTCCAGCGACCTGTCGAATAATTAATTAATTAAATGTTAAAAGCAGCGATCAATAAACAAAAAAGGGAAGGAGCGAAATCTTGCTTGGTGTAAAAAAAATGACTTTCGATACAAGAATTTATTTTATTAAATTACAAAAGAGAAAAGTATTCTGAGAATATAATATTATGTTAAATTATGTTTCTGATAGGAAATTTATATTTATCTCAACTAAAAACTGTTTATATTAATATTGATATTTTTTATTTATATTTAAAACACCCATATTAATCTAAAAGAACATAGAAAAAAAGGGAAACTGACAACCAAGGTTCAAATCCAATTAAGATTGCCACTTTAATCGACCATTAATTTTGTATCAATTTTATATATTCTATTTCGTTATAAAACTTCTGTTGTAGAGCTATGATATAGTAATTTGTTAATTTCAATTCGATAAAAATATAAATGTAGAGTGTACAAAACTCTAGGAGGAAAGTCTTATATCAAGAATCGCTGTGTAACGCGAGATAATTAATTCGCGTTAATTCGCAGATCGACGGAATTTCTTCTTAGGAAGCCCTTAAGATAAATACTTACATACCGTCCTGTGTGTCTCGTACCAAGAAGAGCGAGGGTACCTGTCTTATCACGATATACTATGGACAATTTCGGCAGTGGTCTGACTCGTTCGTCGTGCGCCGATAACGAGCGCACCTTATTCTGCGTATGTATAGTTTATCGATTACGACTGAATCTATTTTATAGTGAGATGTATAAATGTACATTAGTTAAGATGAAAGGTATGTATAGTTCACCTGAAAATATTTTTTTCCTTTCATGAGTCTCGTCAAATCCGCCTTAACTTTTAGAGGACCAACTAATTGGATAAATCTTTCTCAACTATATCAATTATAGATATCAATATGCTATTAATTGCTCTAATAATTGTAGCTACGTTAAACGTAATTAAAATTGTTATACTTGTCACGAAAGATGTCCGATTCTAATTTGCTTCTCTAAAAAAAAAATCGATTTTTTTGCAAAAAGAAGACGGATTTGAAATGGCCCTGCTTGTTAAAAGAAAGGAAAAGAGACAAGCTTGGGTCAACCCTAGTTATAATGTTTTTTTCTATTTTTTAAATAAAAAGTAATTTGTATTCCAATACGATAATTTTATAAAGTATTAAAACGTTAATTAGTTAGAACAAATTGTCTAATGCATAACAACGAACAAAAAATCATCTAGTTATTAAAACTCTCGAAATTATTACAAAAGAAACTGATATTTTACAGAGACGTAAAGGTCCTCTGAAAGTTAATGGGAATAGCGTGCGAAAATTTCTATCGTGTCCCGAGGCAATCCATATCCCAGTTCGATAACGAATGTGATTTTTTAACGAGGCACTTTTACAAAACTGCGTATTACTGGCGTGTAGCGAGCCGCGCTTTCGCCCGTCTCCGCGAAAGACGCGCATTATCGATTATACGCGACGGCAACGAGAGGGGAAAGGCTCGTCTCCGCAAGCCAGGAAGCGTTCGTGAATTCTGAACAGCTTCGTTGCTCCCGCCATTATTGTTAAGATTAACGAATGGTAATTATCGATATGTGTGAACCGGAACTTGTACAGTTGTTGCTATAAATATATGAAATTAGTGTTTTACACCATACTCATACTCACTTCTCTCCGTTAAAATCACTCCAGTGATTCCCAATTTCGTTAAGAAATTATTATCTTTTAGGCCAACATTTATATTGCTATTTTAATTCATATATTTATGTTTAATATTAATTTTATATTATTCTCTCTATACTAGTTCCTATTATTTTTTATACTTCTTATATAAATTAAAAATCATTTCTACTTCATTACGTTTGGGTAAAAAAGAATATTCAGAGAATTTCAAGTACACATTTATTGAAAATCATAATTAAATTAGTTTCTCGTCTTAGTCGTTGGTTACATCGTTGCTGCTGGTCGTAGTCCGGTTATATAGATTGATATTTTCGTATTTACGTCGTCGAATATCCGCTGCAATCGATGCCATGTATTTAATTATTACGCTGTAAATATCAAAATTATTGCCCTGAAGTTATAAAAATGATATTTGTCCATGATAGAGTGTTTTTGCAGTCATTACTGCATAATTTCGATCTGTTATGCGAAACAGTTAAAAAGCAGCGCATCTTTAATTTCCATGATGCACTCTGTTTCGCTGGCCTAATAGAAAAGAGAAGAAAACATTATCTAATATGCTTAATCTTGAGCAATGTTATATAAAAAATGTTAAACAGTGAGCAATATCAGCGATGTAAAACAGTCTGGCAATTTTCTTCATTGGTGGATCGAAATATATTCTGTTACTTATTGAAAATATCTCCATCTCTTGAGCTTTCTGTAAACATGAAATAGTCTCCTAATTTTTATTTATTTCGACAAATCTGATAGAAGCTAATATTTTAACAAGTCAGCTTGGATCGAAATAATAAGAAAAAAAGACCTTTAATTATCCAAAATAAAATTTTGATCGACAAGTACAAAAATAAATAGAAATATAGAAATTAGAAATTATCCAGAAAGATTTTCTATTTTTATAAAAAAAGAAACAAAAAATTTAAGCAATAAATTTGATCAAAACAGTTATAAATTCAAAGATGTTCAACTTGCCAGTGTTTTTACAACTTTAAATCTGACATCTCGCGGATCGATTGTCGAGTCGTAATCTCCTATTTCCTGATCAAGAATAAAAAAAGGAAGACGAAAGAAAATAATAAAAGTTTCCTACGTTCGTAATTGCTCATCATCAGATTAATCGTTTGCGTGTAGTGTCGTCATCACACAAGAATCACTCAGATTACTACGAAAATTGTATGAAACATAGTAGAATCATTGAACAACTAAGCGAATGAAACTGGCACTTCAGTTTTAACTCTTGTAATACGTTTACGAATCCCATAAAATCTTCATAGCACCGGTGCAAGCCATCGTGACGATTGAGCATGAATGGGTCTAATTGACTGCAAGAATAAATCCACGTATTGTCGATAACTTGCGATCGGATGAAGCATTATTTTAATAATGGCAAAGTCGATTCCTTCAAATCTGAAATTTGGAGCAAAAGAAAAATTTACGGTAGATGTCTCTAAAAAATAAATGTGCTTTATTAAGTAAGTCTATTAACTGATACATAAAAAATCCTGTACTTCTTTTTATGTTCTTTTTATGTTCTTCTAAACGTATTTTCTTGAGCTCTTTAATATCAAAGCTTCATATATTTTGGAGTGGGAAAAGTTACTGTGCCATTATTAAAACGACAAATTTGTATCTTGTTTCGTATTACGAATAAACAGATTATATAATTAGTTCAATAATAAATTCATCTGTAATACGATCTCACGCACACAATACGCGATTTCATATCGCAACATTATCAACAGCCTGCAGTGGCTTACTCGTGCGCGATCGAGCCTCATCGATCATGGAATCAAATAGACACCATTATTCTCCACTACAGCGCTGTTCGCGATAATGAAAATGTAGTCATCGACATTATCGAATCGTCGTAAGCTATAGGATAGGAGAAATCGAAATTCCCGGAGCAGCGCGTTCGTCTGTCGTCGGATACACAGTCAGACGCCTCTATATATAGATGTATTTACATTAATATATAAGACTGGATCGAGGGTTTTCCTCGAGCGGTGTGTGAGGGAGTAGGGCCTACCAATTAGGCCATCGTGAGGGTACCCGCGCCCATTCCGAAGCCCACGCCTTTAGGCCCAAAGTTCCGGTTGTAGCAACCGCGGCAGTAGATGTCCCCGTCCGGACCATCGTTCAAGTTCGTCGAATCCAGGGAACGGTTACACTCACCGCAGCTGAAGCACCGCTTGTGCCATACGCGGTTCTTCGAGATCATCTGCTCGGCAGCGTACACCGGGTAACCGCAGCGCGAGCAACCGTGCCCGTCGTTTCGCTTCTGGCCGACCTGGGGCTTAGCGTCGATGCTACAAAATGAAAACGACATCTGCGAATCTGATGTATAATGATTCATGGAAAAACTTTGATTGATGGCAAAATCAATTCAGGTGATCAAGTACATTTATTATTTCCAAAATATATTTTTATTAACTTACGTTTTTTATCAAAATTATCAATAGAGTAGATAAAAACAGTTACATGGAAAAACTTTATGACTCAATTAATAATCTTTGTCTTTTTATAGATTTCTCGTGTAGATGCACATCTATGTCCTCAGAAAAGAATAATAGCTTCAGGATGTATTCATAGTTCGTTCTTATTTTAAGACCGTCTTAAGTAATGTCTTAAAATGTTAATGCGGCTCTCTGATTGGTTCATGACATCTTAAAACTGTACTTAAGGTAGTTTTAAATTTAAGATTTGACTATGAAAATATCAATCTCAATACTTTCATACATAAATCATAGCACTATGTTTAATAATTCATATAAGCTTACATCTCACACAATTACTTGTTAAAGGAAAATTCTAATTAGAGAAGTAGGTCGATTATCAAGATCACTATCAATCATCAAAGTTTCCCTGACAACAAACTTTTCGCTATTATATTTTGCATCGTGTTTCAGAAACTAATTACTCTTGAGATACACTTACTACGAAGGGGCATGATTTCCGTTCGTCGAGACGAGAGTCGGTTTGTGGCCGAACCCGAAACCTTTGGGCCCAAAGAGTTTTCCGTAGCACGCGCGGCAATGGATTTCCTTGTCAGGGCCATCGCATGCCAGCATGGAGTCTAAGGGTCGGTGACACTCGGCGCAATTGAAGCACTTCTTATGCCACATGGTGCCCTTGGCGAGCTGTTGTTCAGCGGCAAACACCATGCCACCGCAACGGGGGCAACCCTGCCCAGCTGGCGCCTTAATCGAGGTCGTATCAGGATTGTAGTAAGGTCGACTGGCCGAAATTTCTTCCTCCCTACGGGTAATTAACTCGATTACGATACGATCCCACCTCTGATCGATTGGACTGAATATATTTTTTAACTTAATTTCTATCTGTTTAATTTTACTTGACTGATAAGTCGCAATAATAAAATATATAAAATATATAAATGAAGGTATATACACCGATATTTTAACATATTTCAAGATAGTTCTTCATAAGATTTTCTCTTGATCGTACCGTTTATTTTTGCACGAAATTTAAATTTCAGTTTTATCTTTTACCTTCCTAATTTCAATATCTCTTACCCTTCGAAATGTACTTGTCATTTTCTCTTAAATTATGTCACAACATTATAAATAGCATACGTGTCAATAATTTTTATTCAACATCAAAATTTTTTTTTTTTTAATTATATTGGACATACATATTTTGCATTTATATAATAAAATTACCAAAGCTCTACATACAAATAAATTAAATAAATTAAATTAATTAATTTCCACTAACTAATTCAAATATATCATATTGAAATGAATCTGCAAAATCATGGACTCATTCGAAATCTTCAGTTGAGCCTCCGTTCAACGTGCATTTATAGAGCAGTTATTTAAATCGACTTGTATTTATAGTCACGCATTCGGCAGGGTTACGAGCTAAACTCCCAGCATTGGCCTCGGGACTTACGTGAGCCCGTCGGTCTGGAGGAATCCCGAGCCACATGCGAATCCGTATCCGTGCGGTCCCCACTTCTTTCCGTAACAGGTCTTGCAGTAAACATCCCGGTCCGGGCCGTCACAGGCGATGATCGAGTCCAGCGTTTTGGTGCAGTCGTGACATTTGTAGCACTTCCGGTGCCACTCGCGGCCCTTGGCGAGCACCTGCTCGGCGGCGAAGACGACGCCACCGCAGCGAGGACAACCCTTGCCGGGCGGGGCCTTGATAATCGCGGTGTCGATCACGGTGGTACGAGGAGCCGCATCGCTGCATCGTAAAGAAATCGCATTATTGCGGATCGTTCTCGTTCTCGGTGATTGAGCCAATCGTTGAATCGTAGAGATTACGGAAAAGCAATTGATTTATCTATTCGATTATTGTCTAAAGTCCAAGTAAACTTGACAGATCAGATATTTGGACTCGCATACTGAAAAATGGAAAAATGGAAAACTTTGAATTTTCCTCATTTTAATTTTAATTTTAATTCGTCTCGCTTTTCTTATCTCCTTGATTCGTTTATGATATCACAAAGGAGTGGAATTGCATGCGAATGAGAGGATGATTGATCGTTGGCAATCGCTTGATAAGACAAATGGAAGATTTGAAGTTTCTTTTAAATATTTTGTAATTTTTGATAAATATATTTTAGTGGAGTACAAAAAATTGTACAATTAGTTAAAGAGTCATTAAAGTCATAATCAAAATTCTTGAAATATCCTGTGCAAGTTGAAAATATATAACAATTGTTCATATAAATTAAATAATGTTTTACGATAAACATATATATATAGAAGATTTAATAAATACTAATACCTGTAACAAGTTCTAATAAAAATTGCAATATGAGCTTCTATTAGTCATAAAAAAGTAATCAATTGAAATCAAGTTTTCTTCCATGCCATTACGAATGCGATTACGAAGCTTTATTTTATGGAATCTTAAGTAAGTTATACGTCACACTTCTGACTTTCTATTTAGTTCAGAGAAAAGATGAGTGCTTTGGATCGATTTACATATGATACATGATTACTAATATGATATTTAGTCGTAGGAGTATTAGTAATAACAAATCAGATTCTACATGAATTTCAGATTCAGTTCCGTTATGAATACATGCATACAAGACCGTACAGACCGTGTGGTAACAGGAATGTCGAATGCATATGGAAGAATCTCTGGCAACTATGAATGTCAGCGTGAGTATTCCATTAATATAAAACGAATTATGATCGCCACTGAGAAATGACACTCGATATTCCGATACGATCAGCCGATTCGTGATGCCAGGGTGAGTAATAGCGCAAAGCGTTAAGGCGTCGGTCTATATGTATATATATGTGTGTATATTATATATACACGGACACACACAGACGCACGCATGTACACAGTGTCTTGGAGAAGGTGCGTGCCAGTGGCAATTTTCCTACGCTCTTCGAGAAAGTCCAGGCCGATTTTTTCTTCAAAAAGGTACAACCTTTAAAAATTCCATATATTATCTTTTAAATTTAAATCTTCGTAAATTTAAAGCATCTGCATAATACGTGAAAATAATGGAAAAAGAGTTTCTTTATGTAAATTGCATACATATGTAACGTATGTACACTACCGTTCATAAATTCAGGAACGTTTGCAGTTTTCTCGCATCTCACGAAAAGTTAAGTGTTATTTGGATGAAAAAAATTGTACACAGAAGTTTCCAAAAATATATTTCTAAAAGGAGAGATAGAGTTGTAAATTTGTTTTTTAGTTTTATTTATACGATACTTTGTTTCTAAATTCCTAAATTACATACAATTGAAAATTAATATTTTTTTTAAATATTTTTATTTTATTTTGAAGAACAATAGCTTAATAAAACATCATCGGACAAAAAACAAAAAAGTATTTAAAGTAGACTTTTCAAGCTTTAAAATTAAAAAAAAAAATACAATGCTCTCTCTTTTTTTACAGTGATATCTAGTTTTATCTGTCAAAATTTTTACAAAACATGACTTAACTTTGGAATTAAAGAATTTACAAAAGAGAAAGAAAGAAAAGAAAAAATTTGCTATAATATTCTCGATTCACATAATTATACTTTCAAAGATACACATTAAATATTCAAAGAGAGATTGCATAAATATATAACGTTTAAATATTTATTAGTTAAAAATTTTTATTTTTCATTTCTTTAATTGTAAGATTCAGTTAAAGTTAATATAGAAAATTTCTCAGGATATAAAAAGTTTATTATTCAACAGTGGAAAAAATAATATACTAAGTTTTTGCGTTTAATCAATTTTTTATAATTAGTATTATACTTGTATTTTTCTTATTCTCGTATAAAGAATTCTTCGGAACAAGAATAACTAATTTATCCTCTGTCAGAAATACTGAAAGAAATCATTATATATACATCTATAATATATAAGAAAACTTATTCTTTCAATTTGAAATGTTGTAACTGTTCACAGAGTATGGGTTGTTCTTGTTCTAGCACAACATGCAAAAGCCAAGAAATAAGAGCAATGAATTTTTCGCTAAAAAAAAATCGACGCAAATTACTCAAAGATAAAGTTGTCACTACTCGCACACTTTTCCTTCTCCGAGCACCCTGTTTACGCGCGCAAAATAATCGTCATAACTATAAAGGGGCGCGTACCCCTCGTCCTCAATATCGCACTGCAGCCCGATCCACATAATCCCGGCGTGGCCGACACCCCGCGGACCGAATTTCTTCGGATAGCAAGCTGTTAAGCAGACAAGCGCATCATATATAGTGAAAGTGTAGAAGCCGAGGCGGGATTTTCTCTTTCTCGCGTGCTTCCCATCTCAGTCCCGACTCTGAAAACCCACCCATTGGCGTAGCAGTCACTCTGCAGGGCGCCGCCACCCTGGCCGTAGCCATAACCCTTCGGTCCGAACCTCTTTCCGTAGCATACTGTAGACAATATCGATTAAAGGTTTCACGTCGCCTAACGTTATCTCGTGATGATGGTCAGCGACGAAGACATAATCGTACAGATACGCCAATGCAATCTTTGATTTTTCTCCAGACTGTTCTACATCACGTATCATATTAATTTATCCATGGCCTTGCCATAACTTCCCATCCCTGAGTTTATTCTTCGTATTAAACTCATAATCCAGTAAAATATTGAAAATTTAATAAAGTTGATATATACTTACAATTAGAAGAGATTCTAGAATTTTCAGACATTTTTTAGAGACGGTATATTTAATAAAATTTTGTGTATTTTATTGATTTACAACGTATATAATAAATATTACTTTAATACGACTAGAAAAATATTCTTGTATATTTTGTTTTAACTACATTTAGAGACCGAACCGATTTTTTTAAGGTCCGCAAGAGCTGAAAATAAAATTCTACTTTTCAACAGCTTTAATTCTCCTCGATACATTTAATGATAAATTTTAGCAAATTTTCATATATTATTCAGCCGCTCATGCGCGGAAAATATCTTTATATGCATTAAATTAAACGAATTTTGTACCGCATTTCGCATATTTTGTACGTTACGTCTTCATACGCGCGATCGTACCGTGTCCTCACCTTTGCAGTAAATGTCCTTGTCAGGACCTTCGCAGCAGTTGACGGAGTCTAATCTTTTCGTGCAGTTGGCACACTTAAAGCATTCCCTGTGCCATTGCTGCACGAAACACAAAGGATGGGTTAGTCACTAAAAGTTCCAAGGAAAGGCGAAAATAATATTGTACAATATCATTTTCTTGTACAATCGTTCAGGAGCGCAGACATTAAAAGCTCCTTATGGCTCGCCAAGATTTGTTACAAAATTTATGTGGCAGTAGCAACAAATAATGCTACTGTAAAGCTGCATTCTTTCTTTAATGTATTATATCGTTCCAATTATTCTTATAAAATTCTTATAGATTAGCTTACTGAAAACATACATATCATTTTTTTTATAGAAAAGTTCTTGTAGTAGTTTTAAGCAAATCTGAAGATATTGATTTTCTATAATATATTTGACGGAAAAGACACGTTATTAATACATTTTATAAAGCATTTCAAATTTACTGCAAAATACTGCAAATTCTTTAAACATTAAAAGTTGAAAAATCAAAATTTGTTTTGAGGTTCTATTTCTCAATAATATTTTTTAATAATAAATATCTTCATAATAAATCTTAAATTAAAGTTTTATTGAATAAAACTTTATTTATCACATTCATTTATAGTCTAGTTGTTTGAATAATTTAAGATTAAAAAATTTGTTAAATTTGATCTTTTATTTTTAAATTATTAAGTATAATACTTAATACTAAAACTTAATACTAAAACTAACAGCATTTTCACTAATAATATTTTCCGTAATTTGATCTCTACAGTATTTCCTGTGGTAGAGCGGTAATTCTGGAAAACGGCAATCTAGCAATCTAAATTCGTTCAGAACAAATAAACAGCTATTCGCGCGCCTAGATAACAAAGATGAGAAAAGGGAATGATAGAGTAATCGATAATCACGATCCTTCTTCTGTGACACTGTGCAGCCCTTGTACGTTTGGGGGCTGTTTCCTGGCGGCGGAAAGAGTTTATAAACTGATTTTAGTAGGTAACAACAACAAGAAAGACCAAGTCAGAGCGGAAACAGACAGAGAATGTAGACAGAGAGATAAATACGTTCAAGGAAATGATAATCGTTCAACGTTTTCAGAACACAGGACTGTCAGTACGGATATCTGTACAATAAACCGAGAAAGAATTAAGGAGCCATAAAGGGGATTGTAGATTTTTTTAGATGAAAGATACCTCGACAGTATATCTCGCGGTCGGGACCATCGCAATGAAGCGTCGAGTCCAGAGTGCGGCGACACATTTTGCACTTGAAGCACAGTTTATGGTAAGCCTATCGCAAGAATGAAGATTGACCAAAACGGCGGTCTAATGGAGTTCGACGAGACATTTATTGGTGCTATTCTTGGTGCCGCGACGAATCGAATATCCTATTTCAATTTCTAGAATATTTCAAGACAATTTTAGTATCTCCCTTAATTCTACAACGACGATATATCGAAGATTTCAAGTTAGAGAATATATCCGCGTTAAAAAATAAAATCTGCGCAAGGTAAAAATTTCATAAAGCGTATCTTATCACAAATTTCTATAAAGATACGATTCTTCTCATTCAAGAAGAAGCGGGCAGAAATTGCATAACCGAATTCTCGCGCAAGGAAGCGACTTCAATACGCCGATGAGTCATAGATGACGAGAAAGATGGATTGCCATCGTCGTTTTCGCGCGCGGATATTATCGCTGGACCAGATTGTCGGTCAGCAATTAGCCTCCATTTCTCTGGTTCCGCGTGGCGCTCCTTCTGGTAGCAAGCCATTTTATCGCCGAGTATCGGGCCGGCTAAGATTGGCCGGCCAGTTGGGGCGTCGCCAAAATCGTTCTCTGACGAAACCACCGAGAAAGTTTCTGGGCTAGCACCCCCAGTCCACGGAGAGCGAATCCTCCTCCTCTTCCTCCTACCTCTCCCGTTTCTCTCTCCCGCTACTATTTTTTTCCTCATATTGTTATGAAATGGAGATTGGATAAGATTACGGGGACACGCGTGACGCGGTCCATTACCACTCGCCGCGTGCCGAATTTAGACGCGCGGCAGAAGCCACGATGCGCCGCGTTACTGCAACTGTTTTGTAACCCACGGCGCATTTTTACCGTCCAGATTTTCCGAAATACATGTGAGTAAGCGCGACGAAGAGGACGCCGTTTGCGTCAATCTGTCTGTCGCCGCGTCAGCGACCGATTTTATTGCTTCGCGTGCTAAATCGCGCTACAATCCCACGAGCCGCCCTCGCCCGGTGAAATATTCGCGGTCCGAGGCTGACTCGTGCACAGGTATCGCACCACGCACTTAGAATATTGCCCTAATTCGAGGAATATATGAAGGGTCATTTTCGACTATCATCTGCTAATCTAGAAGTAGATAAAAGATCAGTTGAGGAATTAGTTAAGGAACAAATAAAAGCCATATTTTCGTGTTTTGGCCTGTGAATTAAAAATTGAAGCTTCTAACCTAATTACCTAAAATATTTATGTTTTATAAAGCTAATCGCACAGTATATATGTATATCCCGAAATTCATTTTCTTCAACTATCTCCATAAGCAAAAGATTAATAGCTTACTCAATGTATCCAAAAGATTAATGGAAGAACTGTATTTAGTCGATAATTGAGATATATGCTCTGATTCTGTTTTCATTTCTAAAACGTACGAGCGAACGATCAGTCGAAGCACCAAGGAAACTTCTATCGTTGTGCATTTAACGCTAAATGCAATCAAGTAGTTATCACACGTCAGTGCTATTCAAACAATTACACTTTGGTGCTAATAGGATTTCTTAATTGGTTATTTATCAGTATTCTTGTCGCATTTAGTGTTAAATGCGCGCCGTGTATGCCTATCTTCAGAATAAACTCACCCTTCCTCGAGCCAACATCTGCTCTGCAGCATAAACGTACCCTCCGCATCGAGGACATCCCTCTCCCTCGGGTGCCTTGGCGATAGCCCGAGGCTCGAGAATAGCATTCGAACCTCGCGAAAATTCACCCCTAAAAATTAAATTTATATTAGAATCCATCAATAAAATTTATACAAACTATCGTAAGGTTTAGAGGTAAAACGAATTATCTTATTTGATATCACTTCTAATAAATATTTATAATAATTTTTTCATAAAGCAGCATCTTTAGGATTAATAGAGATGATATCTATTACTGAATAATTCGTTTTACCTGATAATTTGATATTTAAATGTAAGCATTGAATGCGAAAGCCATTAAATACAAAAGCATTTAGATAAAGGAATGGTTGAGTGAAATTGATGGTTCACACATAAAGTAATAAGTATGATAATTAGAAGTATAATAACAATTGAAATAATTAATTGGATTTTCAATCTAGGTTTTTAAAGTCAAGGTAATATGTGAAACATTTAAGGAATTCAAATCTAAAAATCTACATGTTTTCGGAAATTGATTTAAACATATAATGTTACAGAGATACATAGAAGAAATAATGGGAAGAAATTAAAAAAAACTAAAGCTATACATAAGGGAGATTTATGATACATATAAATAACAAAAATATTTTTGCTATTAAAGCAAAAGTGTAATATAATTAATATGTCAAGGCTTTTTTTTAAATGAGCAATTATAGTTAACTCATAAAATAAAATTTGTTTTTAATTAAATAAGTACAATGCTATAAAATTTTCAAACGTTTCGACTTACAAAATCTGCCTCAGTGTAATTATAAAATACTGATAATTATTAATAATACTAATAATTAATAAATACTAATAACAGCTAATTAGAGATTAATTCACAGGATTAGGATTTATATGTATCTCATTAAATATCAATAAAATACTTTGCAGGAAATTATAAAAACTTACGGTGCGTGTGCATAAGTATATAATTTGAGAAAATTATTAAAATATTGTGATCCGTCAATTCCACGTCTGAACACTATTAGTCTATAAAAACATATAGCGCTATCAAGACATTTCACTCCGACAAACATCAGAATCCTTTAAATAATCGGATGCAACTGTATAAAAAGGAAATGATACTGTATTTATTAAAATCCAATACTAAGCATTGGTATCATCATGTTGCAAATAATGAAAAAGTTAAATGCACATATGTCTGTATGGATAAAATGTTACTTTTTCCACCACTTGATAATTAGCTTCAGAAAAGTATTACAAACACATTTGTTTAATTAACCCCTTTCGAAAAATCAATATTTTTAAATTTTATTATGTAAAATATACTACATATGGTTCATCAAATATATAGACTTAAAACTTAACTAAACTTTCCAAATTCTGAAATGTACTGCAACAGAATCTTATATAAAGTCAAAACTTTTGTTTCGATTTCAAATTAATAATTAATATTTTCTTGCATTACATTTGATTTTTGTTGAAGACATCGAAGAAACTTGTGTCGGATGGATTGATAAGGTTGGATTGATAAATAACATAAACATAAATATATCAATAGTCAATAATCAATTACGGATTAGCTCGTTAGGCAAGTGTTAGTCAACGTGTTAGTGTAATTTTTCCCCTTCGCAACCACGGTACATGGCTTCCGCCGAGCCCCGAGAGAGAACAGCCGAGAAGCAAACTGAACGTAATACGGCATGGTTGTATATCTCAACAAATAATAAGTATATGTAAAAAAAAATAGGAGAAATAAACGGAGAGAGAGATAGAAAAGAAGGAATAGGAAAGAAAACAATATAGTGCCGCCGTGTCAGGTACAGTATGGAGAGCCTATGCGTGCGTACGCACGCATCCGTACCGTGAGGTGAAATATCATCGATACAGTGAGGTGACACCGATCGTGCTGTCTTTCTTGTAGCGCGACAATTGCGCTGCTGAGATGGGTTTTATATTACGATATAGTAGCGTATATACAGCGAGACACGTGAGCGGTGCAGATCCACATGCACTTATCACGATTGGTTGCTGGATTCGTCCTGACGATCCAGACCAATCCAAAATGGACACAGCGTGCTTGATCACTATGTGTCAAACTTAACAAAAAAGAAATGTATATAGGTTAAAAAATGTTGAATAAAAGAATTAAAATGAAGTTGATCCTTGATGAATAATAATTAATAAGATAAGTAGCAAAAAATACAATAGTTTTTTTTACTTATAAGTTCTTTGATTTGTACGTATCTGATTGAATCATCTTTTTCTACTATATTTAAATAAAGGTTATTAAATTAAATTAAATTTTAATAAAACTTCATTCGTAAAAAGGAAATCACTTTTCTTTTAGATAATTTATAATTTAACTCTTGTAATAGAATTTTTATATCTTTTAAAATATTTACTAAGGAATAATTCTCTCTATGTAAAGTTCAATGAAAAGGCAGCTGACTGGGGAATTTGAGATATCCTATTCTAACACAGAGCATTACAAGTGCATTTGCATCAGTCCGTGGACGCGCTTCTATGAAAGAACATGGGTAGCATGTATGAAGGTTTATCTCAATGGCATTATCGTCGCTATTTTGCGACGATAATGCTGACACTATCGTTGTCGAGAACAGTGTTGATCGCCGTTACCTCATTATATCGACATAGTACGCGAATACACTAACACGCACGCGGGCACGCACGCACGCACGCGCCAGCACCCACGCAAGTAGTTAAGGTGTTAGCGAGATTATAAGATTAGAAGTGGTGCGAGAGAGGCCATGCAGGAGAGCTACGTGTATATAAGCTACAAAAAAGAAAAAGAAGCTGCTTCGTCACGCGGCGAAAAAGAAAAAAAAGGAGAGATAGCGAGAGAGACCCAGCCAAAAATAATTCATCGAATCGACGTCGATTAATTATATAAATGTCGATTTGACTAATATATTTCCAGCGGGGGAGAGAAAGAAAGAGAAAGAGAGACAGCGAGATGAGAGAGAAAGAGAGACAGAGGTGCAATTTGACTCGATGCTCACCATTCTCGTACTCGGTATTTTCTCTTTATCACGCAGCTCGTACTATGTGATAAAGTAACAACGGTACATTGTTCAATGCTTGCCTCCGGTTGGCTCGTGCTCGGCGGGGCTGGCGGGGGCGGGGTGTGTCGTGTGTTTCTTTTCTCTTATTTTCGTTTTGTAAATATTTTTCTCATTTTCGTAAGCTTCGTCTCCTTTCTTAGCGAAAGAGTCTGAAGAGAGGAAGACGAACGGCCGAGGATGCGAGTTTCGTACGCAAAGGCTCGACGTCATAGAAATAGAGAAGGAACGTGCAGCGATGTGTACGCTTCAGTAGTCTACTTCCATGGATTCAAAGAGTCGCGTATCGTTCAGTCCCGGTCAAAATCACAATCATATATTGAAAACGATATAATCTCAGTAAGTTCATATTTTAATGCTATGGACATGTGAAAATAATATTTCTATATTTATTCGCAAAGGACAATAACTTTCCACATCCATAGCATTCAAATCTTAACTTCTCGAATTTATATCAGTTTCAATATTTGATTACACAATTCAAAATAGATGACTCGCGTGATAATTAACATTGACGATTTCGAAACCTTGATCAAATTCAATTATATGACTCCATTCTGGGTTTTTAAAAGATACGCTCGCTACGTACGTCACTCGTACATTGATCTATTTACACACTGAAAGGTAATGGGAAAACGTGTGTTATATTCGTTAATGAAAGACACCGCTTGGTTGTTTTGTTTCCAGTTTTATCTTTCCCTTTTTTCCACTTTTAATGGCACTTATTACATGGTACAAATGATCCTACAAACTAGCGTATGTATTCGCATAGAAGAAAAAATAAACATAGAAGAAGAAAGAAAAGAGAAAGAGAGAGAACAATTCAATCAGACGTGACGATGTTGGTCGGTCACACCAGGAGACGATAAGGAACTGATTCGGGAAAAGAGTTAAACGTGAATTTAACTAAATCGAACGTCGTTCACGATGCTGTACGGCGATAGTACAAAGAAGATCAGATAAGGATGGATCCTTCAAAGAGGATAGAAAAACGCGATGACATGCTCGCCTACGGTGATGACAGATTCCAGAGGTGGGAATAGAACAGTTTGGTCCTAAAGGATCATCTAGATTCAACTATCAGGACACAAAGAACCGTCTAGATCTAATTCTTACGAGAGAGAAAAAACAAAAAAAAAACCCGAGACGGACGAGATTTCTTTTTTCGTCATACATCGGAAATTTAAGAGAAAAGGGAAAACGTAGAAAAACGCGGTTCACTCTGTCGGACACGCTGTACACGTATACGTAGACGCGTGTTCTCCGGCATCCTGGAGTTTGCGCAGGCAGCGGCTTCTTCCGAGTTGCTGGAGGTGCGACTGACCAAGAGAAGGAATCATGCTGATGGATCACGGTCGTTCACGATGATGGGTCGATTTTCAGTTTCGCGCACGTGGAGGATGTCTTTACGTGGAGAGGGTAGAACAACAGAGATGCTCCCGACGTGAGACCACGTTGGTAGTACGCTACTCAGGAATAAGGGAAGAAGAAGGTGTCGGGGTCGAGGTGTGCGGTGGCATGCACTCACTCGTCCTTCGCTTGAAGATGTTCGCCTTGGTCCATGGACAGGGTGCCAGCTCCACCACCAAAGCCGTAGCCTTTAGGGCCGAACTTGCGGCCGTAGCAGACTTTGCAATACAGCTCGCGCTCGTGCTCGGTGCAGTTTGTCGAGTCGAGAGCCTTTTTGCAAAGACCTGCAACACATTGATGGTCGTCCATCGTTGGACATTACGGCCCTTCCTACTCAATGTTCTTAAGAGTTAAAGTGCCAAAGTTATCTATTATCGTAAACAGTGCTGTGCTGTCTTGTGAGATATGTATATGTACTTGAATAATATATTTGACTTATTTTAATTCAGATTCTGTAAGTATATATCTTAAGTAAGAACACTTTATAAAGTACAGAAATTGCTTTAAATATATTCAACTACCGGACTGCTATTATTTTCTATAAAGAGTTATGTAATACATGCATATTTTCTAAAATTTTACATAAACGCAAAAACAACCGAAAAAGTAACAAGCAATAACAAAACAGGGTTGGAAGGCATTAATTGCGCGAACTGTACATAGTATGTATTTTTACATACATATCATACATAAAAAATGTGTAGCTATATAATATATGTAATTCATTGATACGCAGTAATAGTAAAAAATATTTATATTGTAAAATATATATTGTAATATTACTGCAAGAAACGGTAATTGATTTATAATTAATTTCTCAAAATTCACGCTGTTCTAGAAATAATCACTATGTACGCATCTCTTCAAGATACGACAATGTTCAATGAAATTATTGTGAATTATTAACATCGGTCATTGCTCCCGGAAGTATTACCGGAGAGTCGACAATTGATTTTTGGCTAACCTGCAGGCTCGATTACAATCACGACGGACTATTCGAGCATAAAATTTATTTTAAACCAGCCTAAAAGTAGGAAACTCAATAATGTCTTTCTTGTAAGGGAATTATTCGACCATTTTTATAGAGCATCTCATAGGAAAACATATCATTAAATTTAAATGAAAATATAAGTCTCTCAAACAAATTTTTAGAAATAAAAAATTAAAATATTTTATGGATCTTAGATTAATATATTTTTTATCATAGATAAAATTGAGCTTCTCTCAATAAATTATAACTTTAATGATATATCTGAAACTTATTGAAATATCTAACTATTCAAATTAATAGCAATTGCCTAATAATGCGCTATTTCAGTTTATAGTTGTTATTGTAAGAAATTATAATTCAGAAATATTATTTTTATAAAAATAAAAGTACTTAAAAAACAGATTTACAAAAATATATTCGTATTTATTATAGACTATTTACGCGACAAAGGCAACTTTCTATATAGAATTAAATATATATTATCTATATTAAAAATGTTATGTAGGTGAATTATTATACGTATAACTTTTTCATACTTAAGTTACAAAATGACACTAGTTCATCTATTCCAAGATATCGATTGGTTATACTTATATATGTGAATAAGATAACTCTTGTTTGTGCATTTTCTCTATTTTTATGTTACAAAATTATATTTGTTTACTCACCGCACTTGAAGCATGTTTTGTGCCATTTTAGTCCACCGGCAACTCGCTCTTCTGCAGCATAAACAGATTTGTCACATTTAGGGCATTTTGGATGTTCCACGGGCTTGAAAGGCATTTTTACACTGAAAAAGAAACTCTGTTGACGCGCGTATCCTATTACACCGCAATTAGTTATAAAATTATCTATCGTCATGTCAAATTTAAAAATTATTGTAGCATTAATTATTCTTTTTTACTATTTAGATGAACTATTTACATGAAACTGAAAAAATAACATAATCTTATGATAATTTGCCGAGTTGACAGAAAAGTGGCACAAGTAAAAAGTAACATTTTTGAGATAATGAAAGAAAATCGACTCTAAGGACTAATATATATTGTTGTTAAAAAATGATACTTTTGTTAACATATTGCTTATATGGAAAAATGTCACACGAGTCTGATAAGAAATTTATACGACCCTATACTAAAGTTGTAATGTTCAAATTTTGAAAACTCATGACATAATTTTAAAAAATACATAATTTTTAAATGACATGGAAAGAAAATGTATACATATTCATTATCTTAATTAAAACGTAATTTCAATTCAGAAAGAATTAAAAAAATATTCTACTAAAAAGTTGCTAATTGTAAGTTGTATCACTTTTCTATCAATGCAGCAAATTATTTCATAATAATAATACAATTAAAAATATATTAGCATCTCTTTAATTATCTGAATGTTAAAATTAACTTTAATGCTTCTTAAAAGAAATCTCTATGAAAAATCAAGACGGAAGTACCTCTATTTGAAAATATTGTCTAAAAAAATTCGTGGTTTCGAAATTCAAAATTCGTAATCAAATTCAATTCAAATGACATTTTTATTAATATCGAGAGGAATCATCGCCGGTACGGTAACCCATTTCGGTTACCTAACTGGTCGCTGACGAGGACGTAAACAATCCGCGTTTCCGTCTGACTCGTCGGCAACCAGTTCTATTTTTGTGGCTAGCTTAAAACGTGCGCACGGTTGAGCAAATGGAGGAACGAACGTGTAAAAAAGGGAATAAAAATATATCACACGCGATACCAGAGCATTGAACAAATCTACAAACATGCATTTACGAACAGCTTGTCTTTTTACTTTACATAGAAGAAATTTTGACAGTAACTCGATTTAGATGTTTAAGAAATTGCGAATTATGTCTAGAGTATTAATAGAATGATATTAGAAAATTAATGAAAAAAGAAATGTTTGCACTTGTTTAAAAAAGATATCAGTAATCCGATTTATCAATCAAAGAATAAAAGATTTGGACAAATTAAGCTGCAGTAAATACATACATGATAATACGTTAATCTTAGATTATTTTCAAATAGATATACTGGTACTCATTTTTCCGATAATCGTTATCGACATATAAATTAAAATATCATATTCTGAGATGCACTTTAAATCTTTAAATAATATTTATATAAAAGATAACAAAAAAGTTGATTTTATCTAAATGTTAAGCAAAATAGGCGGTAACTCTGAATTACTCTGTACGATTATAAGAAAATAGTATTGTATACGATTGTGTCATTACAAATATTTATTTCTTAGATGTCGACATTTTTACGACATCGATGGAAATGCGATATAGAAAATCTTTAATTATTTAAAATAGATGTTGACGTCCAGTGTGTTAAAAAACTATAACTATTATTATTGAAAACATAAAAGTAAACAACAATTGATTGATACGCTTGTTGCAACGATACAGTAACGATATCTGGCATGAACATTAATGGATGTGCGTAACAGCGTTTGGCAATGCTAGTTGATCGTACACTTGTAATGATTTCGCTTTGATAGCATGCAAAGATAATAGTAATAGTAGTAATAAATAAAAATAACAATATAGTATATTTGGCATAATAATGTTGTATAGATATAATGCATTATAATAATATTGCACAAAAAATAATAAATATTAAATAACAAATAGTAAAAATAATATTATTTTTAACAGAGATCCGAGGTGTAGCAACAGAGCTATTTTGTATATGTATAAATGTAAATGTAAATGCATATATATACATATTTGTGTGTGTGTGTGTGTGTGTGTGTGTGTGTATGTATGTGCGTAAGTAATACTTTATAAAACGGATTTGTCAAATTTTATTTAAATTAAAAATAATTAAACAACACGTAGAAAATAAGCCGTTAGTAAAATACTCCAGTAATCATATTATTATAAAAACAATACAATTGCTGTTACCAATTTTAATTAAAATTTTATAACATTTTATTTTTAATAAATATGTACATGATTTTGTATTTCTTTTAAAACACTGATTCTAACTCATATCTATGAATTATGTCTTTGAATTCCGTAGCGTTTAGCGAGCTTCTGCTGCACAAATGTGCTCTGTTACTACTGACAGTAGTATCTGGTAATGATATGATACGCCAGTAGTAGCGGCCGTAATAGAGGCAGTAGTAACAGGCGGCATCGCGCGACATGCTAAGGAGAAAGAGAGCAAACTAGAAAGAGAAAGAGAGAGAGAGAGAGAGAGAGAGAGAGAGAGAGAAAACGCGGGCGATTCTATATCCGTGCAGACGGGTGCAGGCGAGTCCGCGAAACCGTATTAGGGAAGGCGCTAGGTTCTCCACGATAGCAGTCTCCTCGTTTTACCCCTACCGTTCAATCGCACGCATATTCGTGGATGGAATGCGCAGTAACCTAACGCGTATCCTGTCACGCCAATAAGGCTACAAAATGTCCCTATATGTCAAAATGTTACGTTACACGCAAAAATAAAAAAACCAAGACTAATTAAAAATTTATAAGGTTTATCTATTATATTATTTATATTAAATGTCTTTCAGTGTTTTGTATATAATTTATACATTATATAATTAATTATTGTATAATATATGCCTCGCTAATAATATTCATATGCTCTGGTATTGCATATGTAAACGACTTAAAATTAAAACGTAAAAATTAAAAAAATTTATGTTACTTATGTACAGTATAATGTATTACTTTTATCAAAATTTTCAAATTATTAAAATTTTTTTTTTATTTATACCATATATTATTAATATTATTAAAACTATACGGTATATATCGAATCATGATTCACACAATTTTTATTTCTAGGAAATTTAAATACTAATGTTAAATTGTTGAAATGAGTCATGATTGAAAAATATGCGCAATATGCCAACGAGTGCTATAATTAAAATGGAAATATGTATAATAATGATACGAAACGGCCAAGAATGAGCAATTATAACGATGTGGTAAGTGCTGGCACTAGTACACGTGTGAATCATCGATTTGATTATCATCATAAATTCTTATTTTACAAAATATTTAAAGATTGCAAACTTTATATTCATAGCAAAGAAGATAATTTACCAAATGAGAAAATAACTATTGGACGAAATAAAAGTTTTATCTATAATAAATATACGTATAAGATGTAGTATAAATTTTGTATACGTTGCATATTTTAAATTCGTTTTTAAAATTTTGTTCAATCAATTATTTCAATAACTTTTAAAAATATATAGATACACATCGAACGATAAACCGCACAATCTTTGTTTTTACGAATTTTAAACATTGGTGTTAAGTATGTTTAATGTGTTCTTAAACGTCGTTAACTTTATCTTATCGCATTAAACATTTAAATGTTTAAACAATAGTCTTTTAATATATTTGTTAGAGAAAAGTCATGTTATTTTCTATCCTCGCATTTTGCAATTAACTATCTGCTTATAAAGTAAAGTTATAATGATTTTATAAAATATGTATTGGAACTGTATGATTAGTCATATTTGCTCAACGAGGTAATACCTCGTTCATTGAATTTATTTGATAACTTAGTTTAATGTTAAATGACTGTTCCAGCAACTAATAATAGCGGGGGAAGATATGTGCGTATTTTTAAAATTAATAAGATTGGTAACACGAATATATGTGATAATCATACCTTTTATGATTGTGATATGCAACCTTATTTTATGTAAAATTTATTTAAACGTTATTAGATACCATAAATACTATTTATACACTCTATTCTAAAGTTTTAATATGAAAAGGTTATGTTACTTATGTTTTAAGAGTCTATATGTTCTTTTAGATACAAAGGTATCATTAGTATTAATTTAATCCACTAAAATTGTTAAATTTAATTAATTAGAATTCATCTGATATGTATTGATTATAAAAGTACAAGCTTTAATTTTTGCACATTAAATTTAATGTTTCCACTATTTTTATTCCTTCATCTTCTCTAACGTCTTAAGATCGGCCGGCAGAGCTTAATTTGTCAATTTTATTAATATCTTGTATGTCTAATTATAACGTAATATGAAATCTATGTTCAGTGATCGTGACTCTATTTTAATCTCTGCACGAGATTAGATATTAAAGACATTAAATTTTCCAACATGCCATATTCATCTTAGACAGCACAGACATCCCTTGCCCTGTCCATCTATGCGGTTCGCTACGCAATTATCGTTAAATCTTGTTAACTTTGTCTATATTATTGAATAAGGCTATAAGATGGTCTACTTCCAATTCGGAATCGGCTTTTGACAGAATCCTTCAACATATAAAAATATATCCTAGCTGAACTTTTGACTTAAAAGGATTAATTTAATTGTATTATTTGATTTAATTTATCTCTATATAAAACTGAAATTGAAAAATACACAAATTAATAATTTAAAATAAAACATATCGCGTGATTTAATAGTGAAAAATAATAGTAGTTCCCTCTCTCTCTAAAATGGAAAATTGGTTACGATCTAGACAGTCTGATAATTTATTAATTTTATTAAAAGGAATTAGAAGTTGGCTGTATGGGTAAATTGGCAAATTTATTGCATCTTATTAATAATTAATAATAATTTCATGTGAGAATATAAATTTTTAAATATATTTTCATAAATAGAAGTAGATCAAAGTTTTACGAGCTATACAATAGTTTATTTAGCGTTTATAATAATTTAGTATTATTTAAGAAAGATTTTCACTTGATATATTAAACTAATCTTTATAAAAAATTTTGAAAATTCTCCACGATATGACAATTCACCCAAGTAGCTGACCTGGAGTATGCGTTCAAAGCCGTCGATGAATATCTTTCATGGCACTATATGAATCTCAGTACTTCAGAAGGAGACACACGAGGAAAACAGACAAATCACGAGGCTGAGGTAAATCACGCTTGCAATGATTCTACGTGCACTTCTTTGAGCGATACATATGTTTGTGTATTGTCGTCGGTGTCATCGGTATTTGCGGCATCGATCGATGCGGCTAAGAAGAGTATCGTCATCGATAGTAGTACAGAAGTGTTTGATAGTAGTAGCAGTAGTAGAGTAGTATACATATCCGCCACACTGTTATTTCTTGGTACTCACCACTAATCGATCGTAGTCACGTGAGAAAAAGAAAAAACAGATAGAGAGACGAAGAAAGAGAAAGAGAGAGAGAGAGAGAGAGAGAGGAGAATTTGAGTAAGTGGATTACAAAACACCGAGCACTCTACACCGCACTAATACTGGATTCGAATGACTATGCTCGCGTCGGGAGCGTCCTAGTCATAGCCCCTCAGGCTTTGCACACGGCACGTGTGCATTGGGAACGTCAATGCTGTTGATGATGCTGTGCCACCGGTGGCGGTGACGGCGAACACCAAAGGGCAACGGAGATTCTTTACTGAAGTAAGATTCAGGTCTTTGGGCCGAAATATGTCTATACTAATAATCTTCACGAACTTGACACACACTTTAAAGTCTAATAATGATTTTTAAAAGAAAAATGCTTTGAAATTTAATTTAATTCTAGACTATATAACTTGTTAAAATCGATAATCTTTTATTATTTGTGAATTTACACATCCTTATATTTTGTTTATTTTTTATAATAAAATTATAAGAACGTTTATTTGTTAAATTTTTTGTTTTTCAATAATAGTTAATTTAATTTCCTTGTTCATTTAGTATCTATACACATATTATTTTATTATATGCATACATAGTTTTTACTGACATTTAATAAAATTTTGCGGTATCTAATATCTTATTAAATACTGATATTATTAGATAAATGATTTCTATGAACTTAATCAATATTTTAATTTAAAACTTAATGATTATATTTGTCACAGTGTTGTTCAATCGATTTTATACTTAAACTTATAATATATTTGTTAGATACTTATTACTAATTAGGACATTATTTATGTCCTAAAAATGTAACGATAGTGTGTAATCAATTGAAGAGAAACAAGGTTGTCAAGAAAAACAAGGTCACTCATCGCAAACAGTCATCACATTTAAAGGGCTATATTAACAAAATGCCACGCTATTATTTAACTTTGCATAATTTGAAATGTGTACAGCCAAATAAAATAACGTACAATATACTCCAGTGTATATGTATATACATATAATTATATAATAATACGCTCAAGTTTTAGAGAAATGGGAAAATATGTATAATTAAATACTAAAATATATTTTTAAATCATTTCGAAATGCTTAAAATTAAAAATGCGTTATAATAAACTCCAGTTATTGTGGTTAAATGGTAATAATTAATGGTATTAGCATCATTACACACATACATAGTATAACGGCAGATTACTAAATAATGGTTTCTTAAATAATCTTTAAAATTTTCTATCTCTCTCTCTCTCTCTCTCTAATAGCGGAAATATTAAGAAGGACTATTAACCTGTAGGAGCTATAATACCTTCTCTTCTATCAACAATAATTAAAATCATTAATTATTTTGAGATAAGAAATTAGCATCTTCTATGCTTTTTTAAGAAATTCATTATTTTTTGAAGATAGTAAAAGATTAATGAAGCATAAGAAAAAAAACATAAAAAATGTATATATTTTTAAGAATAAATTTATTTTTTGTTTCCAAAACATTGAAAGAATTAACTACTTTTTATTTTGAAACAAAAGTATTTATTCAGATATTTATTCGTGTATATATCTTTAAGTCTCAGAAGGATATTAGTTACTTCAAAATATTACAGAATTGTAAAAAGTTATGATACATAAATAGTATGACAAATTATAATACATATTTTAGTAGCTGGCATACTACAGAACTCTCAACATACTGAACATGACCTGTCGGCAAAAAGAAGCAACAGAAATGCCTCGCAGTCTAGTAGGTGACATTTACATATATCACAGATTAATAGTACGTTATTTTTATTTACGACAAAAATAAAAGTGAATCATTATTATTATCTTATTTGGATAAGAGAGATTATTTTGATAAGAATATTTTAATTAATTAAGGTTTTATTTATAGCTAATTCAAATAAGTAAATTAAAAAATATTTTAGGAATAGTTTTGAATTACGAATTAATTATTAAATGCCATACTACAAAAACAACACATTTAGGTATGGCATATAATTTGCTTATAACTTTCATAAAAATAAACATATTATAAATAATTTTTTCGATTGAAATACCAGACATTAAGAAACATATCAAGCAAGCAAATGTATGTGTAGCTTTATTAATAAAAAAAATTTTAAAGCACATTGGAAAAAGAAAGATGAATATGCCATACCGAAAAGACGTTTAATGGTTAACAAGGCAATAACATTCTTTTTGTTTAACTATACTCTTTTCTAGAATCAAGTATATTTAAAGTCACTATTTTAGCTTTTTAAGTTATTACTTTTGTGAGTAATTTTTTTCTTTGTAATTAATAAACACCTTTCTTACTAAAAATGCTATAAAAAAATATTAAAAATATAATATAGCTTTTGAATGTTTCATATATGATATCCTATATATGCCTACATGTTTGGACATTTATATAAGACATAAAATACATGTTTGGACATTTATATAAGCTACTTTGGAAAATGTAAATTTTCAAAGACTCATGACGGAATATTCCACCCCGGGAAGAATTACGATCGTGTCGGAAAGTAAAAATACATCGAAGACGCGAAGAATTCCGAAGGGTATCCACATTTAATGAAACATAGCAAAAATATGCGAAGCTGTCGTTTGAATGACTCCCACATGCTTGATTTTTTTCTATGAATAGTTTCAATTTTATAAATATAATTTTAACAAATATTAAATTAAACCGAGTGAATTTTACGAAATATGGTGGACAATCATTGTATAAATGTTGCAGACTTTTCATGTAAGAGCTGACAAAACAGCATTTTTTATTAAATTTTATTTATAATATAGTAGAACGGAATTTTATATTTTATTGTAGTTATTCTATATATCTCTAACATAATATATTTCTTTTTACAATTTCTATTACAAAATAATCCATTTTTTTAACTTTTTAGAATTATTTGCAATATTAAATTGTACTGCATGGTTAATACAAATACATATACTTACTAAATCTTTCTATAAAGAATTCTTAATTAAGATAATAGCCAAAAAGTTAAGAGTTATCGATGCACGCTCTAAAATTTAATTCAACAATCATTGAACAATGATTGCAAGTATTTTTCGTAATTCACTATGCTTATAGAAATCTTCAACCGGCTTACAATTCCTGGGCTAACGGGTGCTTTCCGCGTTCCCGAGCACCCCCTCGTTCCGACCGCGGGATTCCTCATTTCGACGAAAGTGGCCGAGAGTAGCGTAAGAGTGGTAGTACACGAGGAGATCGCGATCTCTCGCCTTTTCGTAACTAGGTATCGTCACCGTAGTGAGTGCCATGGTAAGAAGCCGCGCCGGCCACACACTCATCGTCTAATAATAATATCTTACTCAAATTTCTATTTTTAAGGAGATATACGTGTATGCGCACGTGCCTTTATGTAAAAGGCCCAAGTATATGGTTACGCACGCCTACGTGCGGGTTGCGCTTACGGTTATGAAGACGACGACGTCTCGAATTATTATTGCATACCGGCAGCATGTAATGTGTCTGTCGTGGATCTAACAATGTAACAGACAGATGAATAACAGAGCGGCAACGCTAAGAATTCACATAAAACTTTAATTCTCATTGTTAGAAATAGTATAAAATATGTTTATGTTAACTGATCAAATATTAACACAGTCTGAAATTGCTTAGTCGCAATTTCAAACTGCTTTTAGGATAAATAGGTATGTCATTAACTATTACATAGACAGTAACTTTTTATAACATATGTTACGCAGATTATGTGTGTCTATGACGTAGAGATATTGCTGTAAAGTTGCTATTTTCATAATTGTGAATTAATTTTATTTTTTCTTTAATATTGTAAATGTTCTATATATTAAAATGCTGAATTTACAAGTAAAAAGAAGCTAAAGTCAGCAAAGAGTACTATATCCCGGATAAAAATATACTATACTAGTGCATTAAGTAAATTCGACAAGTGGTGTTACTAATAATGTAATAGTGGTGGAGAAAAATTCATTAAAATTTCACTAAAATTTTATTGTTTCACAATTTGAAATTTTAATGAAATTTTCTCTACCACTATTACATTATTAGTGACACCACTCTTGTCGAATTTACTTATTGCACTAGTGACACTAGTAGTATATTTTTATGCGGGATGTATTGTATGTGTGTATATTATGTATCTATATATAGTATCTCTGGCAGAAAAAAAATTTTTATGAAAAAGTATGAAAAAACTACATAGATTGAGACAAGATCTTAGAAATTCTTAATTTTTCATCGATATAAGACAAGATCTTAGAAATTCTTAATTTTTCATCGATATTCGTAGTGGGACGTAGAGTGAGGTTTGTTTGTTTTAGAAATTCTTTATAGTTTTTCATAGATATTCGTAGTGGGACATAGAGGGGCGTTGTTTGAAGATGGAGGATTTCTAAGATTTTTTAGACAAATAATACCGCTCTATATGTCCCACTACGAATATTTATGAAAAATTAATAATTTCTAAAATCTTGTCTCAATTTATATAGTTTTTTGTAAGTTTTTCCGCCAGGAATATATATTGTATATATATATTTATACAATATATATTTATATGCATATATTATATATAGATACATACAGTACTTTTCAATAAATTTTGATTAATTGTTTATAGACATACATTATATCTATCGCATGTCTGTAAAGTAAACAATTGATTAAAACATTTTTTTAATTTGTTATTTTATATTATTTAGGTATTATAAAACATATACAACATTAAAAATTAGAAAGTAATGAGAGAGAGAGAGAGAGAGAAAGAGAAATTATGAACTTGATGTTTTTAAAGATTTACATTGCAGAGTGTGTGTTAAATACGAAGAATTTACCCTCAAGATATTGTACGATGTTACATGTTAATTGCGGCGTACATAGAGCTGATTACAGTACTAAAAAAGGAAAGGAAAAACAGGAAAATAAAACAGAAAAATAAATCTAAATTAATAAAAAATTTATCGTTTTAATAAGTAATTTATTTATCGTATATTGTTTTTATATACGCAGTGTACACTTATAAAGCATCACGAGTACGATCTCACGTTTCTCTCTCCATCAGCGCTCCTGAAACGTTGCGTTAAACCATTTCTGTTATCCCGCTAACTCGAATTTACTCGCCTAGCAGGCGGT